CGGTATGACGTCACGATCATTCCCGCGCGTTTAGTGTCGCTTAGTAGCAATAGCCGAGTGTCACAACTTGAATTATTTATTGCAACTTAAATATTGCGTTTTGAGTTTTGATATTTGGTATGCGTTATTTCTATACATTAACAAATATATTAAAGAAATAAAAAAAATGTTCAAGTTCCCTATTATCACGTACGCTACATCCAAAATTATACAAGTTATTCGCCATCAAGCAGAAAAAATCTATTTTTTAACAATAAAGCGTTATTAGAAAACAATATACAAAGTTAATTTTGAACATCTACTTTAACTTGTTATATGAAAATTATTCCTGGGGTATCTCGAAATCTGATAATTTTAGTTGATATTATAATTTATGTTAACGATACTAAGTGCGAAAAAAAAATTAAGTTTATGTCTAAATATATATTAAGGAAAATGGGGTCAGCAAATAAAATGAATAGTGGAAGTAACAAAGGTGGTAAGTGCCATAATTTCAGAAATAGTATTCCCAGAGAAGTTTTGTGATCTAACAAGAGCAGAAAGTGATTAATGTTAAGCTCCCTGCAAAAAAACATAAATAGATGCCACCGGTAAGTTTCAGTATTATTTCTCATCTGTGTTAGTGGAAATTTGACCACAACAATGTTAAAACTTCTCCCAAGTGATGATTTTAACCGTGTAAAAAAGAGTTACCAGATGACCACTTATTAAACCATTTATTATTTTACATGCAAAGAAATGAATTCTTCTTTTTAAATTTTCGTTTTTGGTACAAGCTTGTAGTTTTATTAGACCTAGAAACTCTTTTTCTTTTTGTTAATGCTCGTGGACCACATATAAAGTGAACATTTTATTATTGTGTCACATAGTTTCTTATGCTGAGGAAAATTAATTGTTGACTGTGAGAACTGTACAATACTTTGGTATTAAATAAAATAAAGAATCTAGTGATCTTGAAACTAAAAAAATGTGAAATCGTCAGGTTTGCACTTTTGAGCATATTATTGCACAATAAGCATATATATAATATCTTTTGATATTAGTAACATTTTACAATGGCCCCGCTCATATACTTCATCGCGCACGTACCAATTTTATTCTCTTTAAAAAGCAGAATATCCTTCGGAATTTCCAATACACCATCAGGATTCTCTTCTTTTGTCTGATGTCAAACTACGTTCAACCTGTGTGGTAGTAGTATTAGCAATAAAGGTAAATGGATAATAAATACCCTGTGCAGAAGGACCAGAAGCAGCTATGTCCGTATTTTGTATATCTTCATTTATATGTTTAGTAGCATTAGTTGAATCTGAAAGAAAAAAATGAATATTAAATTTTTATGAAAAAAATCAAACTAAATTAACATTTTATTCTTATAAACTAAACTAAACTAAACTTTTATTCTTATAAACAGGGCTAGGAAATTTATAAACCTGTTGGTCTTTACTTCCAGGAAGTCAGGTATGTTGTGTTGCTTATCCATTGACCTTGAACTGACAATGCATTTGGATTCTGATATGTTTTACTCATCGCAGCTTTCTTGTATAATGTAGCTGACACGAACAATGCTTATTTTTAGCACTATTGTTTTCACCATTTTGTTTCACGTTTATGGTTAGCCTAATTTTTATTTTTAAAAAGCTCTAAAATACATAAGCAATAATTTTAAACGCCATTTTGTTATAGCGTATTGGTAAAAATGTGCAACGGCACTTACTCCGCTTTTTTTTTTTTTCATTCTATAACTTTTATTTTGAGTTTTGTTTACTTAGCCACACCAGTTTACGTTAGTTAGATAATTAGTCAAATTTCGTGCTTCCCTGGACTTTTTTTCTCTGCTAATAAACTAAAACATTCTTTTTGGCACTTACCACCTTTGTTAGTTCAACTCTTCAAATGTTATTTCTATTTATTTTATTTATTTATTAACTCGCTAAGAGAATAGAACTGCAAAAAATGACCTTTGCTGTTAATACCTGATTAAAACTCACTTCTCTAATAACAGTTACAGGCAACAAGGGTTCCAGCTCAAATGAAGCTCCTTGAAATGACTGTCATCGGCTACCACAACAAAATAAATAAGAACTAAAAGTTCAGATGTTCACGAAATTATATATTATGACATGACAATTGTTTCGACAACACCGTGTCTTTATCAAATGTAATATTTACAAACTACCTGCTACCACATATACCGAAAAATGACCATAAAACTTTAATTAATGTTGTTGTGCGAATTTAAGTTCAATAAAGGAGAGGTATTTAAATCTAATTGATTGTTAAGCAATACATTTGAATATCTGATTTTGTTAATCTCCATGGCTTCCAATAAATTTAATTTTCTACTTTTTGGGGCTGTATGTAAAATATCAAAATTGTCGTCAAAAATGTGTTTTTCTGTGTTTAAGTGTGTAGCATAATTAGAATCTAAGCTATTGTTTTTAAACGCTCTTTTATGTTCGTTAATGCGTTTCTTGAAGGATCTGCCTGTTTGTAAAATATAAATTTTAGAACAAGATCCACATTTTAACCTGTAGGCACCTGATTTTTGGGATTTTGGACATTTCGTTTTATTGTTTTTTAAATATTTTCCTATTGTGTTGTTAGTTCTGACAGCTATTTTTAAACCACATTTTGACAAAAGTTTTGAAACTTTTTCACTAGGTTCTCCTATGTATCTAATTGTCTAAAATTGTTCGTGTTCTGGATTAGGTTTCGGATAAATAGAGTTTACTGTTGCCTGTATTTGTTTTTTATTTATAATTTTATCTATAATGGACGGATTGTAGCCGTTGTTCAGTGCAATTTGTTTAATGATATTAAGTTCTTTGTTTTGATTTTCTGTTGAGAGTTGCGTATTAAGAAATCTGTGTATAAAAGAGTGAAATGCAGTCATTTTGTGTGTATAAGGGTGATTTGAACTGTTATGTATGACTGTGTCCGTGTGTGAAGGTTTATGGCTACCACAACCATTATGGTTCATAAAATCGATAGTTGTACCAGATTTGTAGACTTAAAAATCCTTATTTTTTAAGAGAATACAATGGCAAAAATACATGCGTGTGCTATATAAAATGTTACATTCTTGGTTAAAAAGTTGTGAACAAGAATTGAAGTTTAAATTTTTATTTTGCTCATTATTAATTTGGAAACTTTATTAAATACTTTTCAAAAATCCCAACTAATTTTAAAATACAGGATGTCTCATAGCCAATGACAAATCAGATGGTTTGTAAAAAAAATTGGTATCTTGACTTTGCTCTAACGTTTTTCAATACATGTGACGTAGTATAAGAGGTTATTTCAAAAGTAGCGATGAGTTACATTTTATAAATGAGACACCCGATACGTAAATTTTTTGCAAATTTCTATTTTCTCGTTTTCTTAAACCATCTGCCCCATACCCTGTCTATCTGTCTATTGTTTAAATTCTCCATCGCAGAATATTACAAAAACATACAATTCTTACAGCTTTTCAAAGAGAGTAAAAATACAAAAGTGTGTGTGCATCACGACAATAAATATGTCTTAAGGATTATTCCGTCTGCCTATTGAACAAGAAGGGTTTGATGGATGTTGGCCCAAGCCCTACTAAATTCTCAAGGATCAGAAGTTTGGTTGTAAAAAATGATTTACTGTCCCTCCCGAGAAAGCAGGTAACACAAAAATTGTCTGTTAAAATTTATCTATATGATACTGACCGTAAGAATATTTGATAATGGAGAACAAATCCCTATGCGTACCGCAATCGTACTGAAGATTTACTAATACGTTTCAAAATTATTGTAGTTAACGATAATAAGCAACAATGTCACTTTTCTTTGAATCTTTCAACGTAGAAACTTCAAACTTCTATTTTCTTTACCTGATTTTCTCGTCGAAACTCGGAATATTAAATAAATAAATAAGAACTAAAAGGTTTTTTTTTTGACAAATTTGATAAAGACACGGTGTTGTTCGTGAAAATCTCAAATTTTAGTTCTTATTTATTTTGTTAAATGGATTTTCATCAAGTAAAAGCGACCTCAGTTCAATTTTTGAATATTTAAAACATTCATGAATTGAATAATATTGCATATGTAAAAGTACACAAGAAAAGACCAAACGGATATAAAAAATATATATTATGTAAACAGTTTTCAACTCAGGAACGACTTTTAGAAATGCTCTGATCAAAACTAGACACGTCGAATCCAGACCAAAGACGCTCTAAATGTTCGACTCAAGCAACACGAAAAAATATATAGAAAGGCACGATACTGAGATCTGAGAGAGCAGATCATATTTGGTCAGGGAACTTAAGTGAAGGAATCGTGTCACTTCAGTAACTATGCACTCACTTTGACAAACACTTTTTTCTGTTGTGTTATGTGTCCATAATAATTAGGTTATTTAATTTTTGCGTTGTTTCATTCGTTACTTTTTATGCAATCATATCAAAAAGTTGTTGGGCTGCAGGTACTACGCTACCAACCAAAGAAAAAGAATGTCTAAATTTGGTACGCTTTATGAAGTTTGTTCTGGTGAAAAATTATTTTGAAAATAAACGCCAGGTCAAGCATGGTCTGTTTTGCTGTATTCTCAAATGCAAACAGCTTTCTAGTTGGATAATAAACAATCCAAATTTTTTGCTTTTATATTGGCAAGGGGGGGGGGGGGTAATTAATTATGAGTCTGAGTCAGAGTAAAAGATACGTTGAATTGTTCATAACTTTCCACATAAGAAAGTTATTACCGGCAATTTCCCTCTTTCTTTATACGACGTACTTAATTAACTGCTAATTTTAGAACATGTATTATGGCACCTTGAAAATGAAACAACATCCGGCCCAAAAGCAAATGGAAAATTTTTCCAAGTCAAAAGGTTTATGCATGACTTTTCGTTTATAATATTACTTATATTGTCTGTACAGCGCTGACAAGCTCTCTTCACAATTGCCATCCAGAATAACGAATCATGATTTTAAGGGCACTCTTAAATAATTGTATTTCCTTTTCAGGATTGGACGCTACAAATAAAATTCGTACAGCAGAGAGATGCCAGTTTGTACGAATGCCAAGTGTCCTCACACCCTCCAACTAGTATATTTATAGAGCTCAACGTCGTCGGTAAGTCAATAATATCGTTCCTACCTGTTTTGGGCTAACCTGTATCAAAATTTACTTTACTCGATATTAAATTAGAATTTGGAGTTTACCGATAAAAACCATGACAAATGAGGAACTAAATACACCTAATTAGTAAACCTAGCTTTTGTGATTATTAGGTTTGCTTAATTAGCAAAATCTATCGTTTCTGGCGTAATGACCTACAAAATCCGGACTGAGTTCGTATCTAATACCCTCCCATCCTTTTATTATCTGTTTTCCATTCTCTCCTTCGGGCTTTGTCGGCAGGAACCCCTGCATATTTGATGTTATAATAAATATGTAAATATCTGTTTGTCTACTTGTGAGTCAAGCAAAGTACCATTGAATTTCCTAATACAACCAGATGTCACAAGGCTCCAGGGCATTGTCACTCAGTTTATTTTTATATTGCTCGGGTGTGTCGTTTCTGTGATGAGCGGAATATTAACGACATATGAAAAAGTTAAACGCACTTACAAAGCACGACATTTAAAATATAAAATATGTATAGTTCGTTTCCTTAGAGTGTATTAGGGATTACACATTAATGCACATTTAATTAATTAGATCGGTTAATTTCACTAATTTTGATTTAATTAATTCGATTAAATTAGCAGATGGTAATTGAATGATTTTACTCATAAATCAGAAAAACTTTTTTTTTTAACTAAACAACTTGCAAAATTTCTGTATTATCCAAAACTAACCCAAACTTCGATTCAGTATTGACTTAAAATCAACAATAACCGAATTATTAGCACCTTTAGAAGTTGTCTACAATTTCGTACAATAAAACTCGAACTAAATTAAGTATTTAAAGACATCCCCAATTTGTTCCATACATTTTGGGATATATTTTAATACAGATTGTAGCCCATAAAACTATTTATAAATATTCTGCGTTCCTCCTGCGTCGGCTGTTGATGAATTGAAGTTGCTGACGTTTCACCGATCATCCTGCTGGCTTTTTCAGAGCTCAACTGAAGCTGGGTCGCATTGTACTCTGTATAAGTGAATACCTATATATTGTTTGGCAGCGGGCGGAGGAAAAGGATAGGCAAGAACGTTGTCTCGGATGGCTGGTTCCCATATTGGTGAAAAGTAAAGACCTGAATCTCTGTTAAGACTGTTTGGTTGCTTATAGATTTCAATAGAATTGATTACAGGAAATAATTTTAGTTTTATCGAATATGGAATGCTGTAAACTCCTGGTGTGTCAACCGGAATTTTGTCTTTGGGGGAACGTAGATGCTGAGAGGTTTTTGGATAAGTGGTAAATCTGGTTTTGGCATTATATTTCTTAAAAACTTCTGATATGCAGTCAATAAAATATTAAATGTAAGGAAGGAGAATAGTGGCATGTGTGGGGTTGCTTTCTGACGGGTTGTAGTGAAGTGTATTTTGCATTGGAACGCTTAATATCCGCTAATTCCCAGTGACTACAGTTCTCTCAACAAGAGAGTTGGTAACCCATTATTTTGGGTCGGGTGATGATGTGACTATCGATCTGTATGCGTAGGTTTTCGGTAAATACATTGTCCCGATGTTAGGTCTGATTTACTATTGATAAGAATATCTAAGAATGAGAGGTTATCTAAACAATCTGAACAGAATCCAATGTGAGGTCTTATTTTCTATCGATAAGAATATCTAAGAATTTTTCACCAGGAAGCTAAATAACAAAAGCATAATCAACGTAGCGTTTCCATAATATTGTTTATAAATAGAGGTTATTGATAGCTTTCATCTCAAAGGCTTCCATAAATATATTTGCGATAACTGGTGATAATGGAAAATCCAGAGCTCTTCCAGACATTTGTTCAAAAATTTACCGTTATAAGAAAAATATGTTCCGGATAAGCATTTTTAAATTAAGATAAGAGGGTTTGGTTCCAGATTCCTAGATTTTCATAAATTTGAAATAATATTGAGAGTTTCAGGAATAGGGAAAGGAAATGGAAGTATTAAAGTACGAAACTAATAGTTTTCCCTGTAAAAAGTTTTATCAGTATAGGAGCTAGATATTGTGCTAGGGAATAGGTTGGAGAACCAATGATGCTGACAATAGGTAAAAGAGGTAATCCTAATTCAATTACATAAATAGGTGAAATATTTGAGTCCTATGGAAAAAATATGTGAAGGTTTGGTGATTTGGAGACTTCAGTCTCAATGTTCTGGCTATGCATGACATGGAATGCCAGAAAAGTTTAATCCAGGGAACTCAAGTCTTAATTGTCAATGCAGAGTTTCTAATATATTATAACACAAAGTTTGCAAAGTCCGAGTACTTGATTCATATCAACTATTTGGACTGGATGAATTTCTAATGTTCATCAATTCAGAATTCAAGAAGTGGATTTCTGCGTTTACAAATACGAAGAATTTCTAACATACCAAATGGTAAAGTAAGGGGTATGCAGTGTATTGCGCAAACCATAAATGATCCTACCATATAGTTTTCCAAAAAGTGCATGCGTTACTTTACTCTCAGTGGATTCTGAGATAGAAACGAAAATACAGAGAAGTATAAAAATCTGTTTTCCAAACTTTTCCATGTTTGGAAAATGTTTCCAAAATTCAAGTTCGCGGAGCTTTGAGCAGAATTTCTCAAAATTTTTGTTCAACAAAATCTAGATTAAAACGTTTAATTACTCCAGCTGTTTGTGACTTCCACATAAACAGGTCAATCAAGTTGGGCCGCCAATAATGATATTGGGACCTCGTATGGGGCTGATTGATGGTTAACAATAGCTATAAGATTTCGTACGTTCGATAACTCGAAGCTTTAAGCGAATGACATCTTTGTAATGCAGCGAGTGGCTTCTGTCCATGGCATGCGTTTCGCAAAGTTTGTGATAGGGACTCTATTAACTGTTATGTGGTACGGCATATAAACAGTCAACCTGAAGACCTGTTCCCAAAATTTCGAGCAATCATTATAAAAATATTAATTGTATTTTTCCTATGATTGAAATATAATTTTTCTTGATTTACACATACTACATATTACTGGCCAACTAGTTTGATTGCAAAATGAATTCTTCAATAAATAATACTTATGACAATAGAACGCTTTTTATTTTTACCTCAAAAATTGTGCATCAAAAAAATTCAAGAGGGCATTTGTGTATGAAAATAAACGAGAAATCCAAATATGAAGTCTATTTAGGGAAAATACGTATGTGTATCGCTTTGCAACTTAATTAATTATTAATGTATGTTACGTAGGTGCCCACCAAATATCAGTAAAGTATCTCAACAGAGCTTCATTTTGTTTCATTCATTTTCTTGCAACTAGCTTGAACCTTTAGGTGATCGCCACTCATAACACTTTCGATTCACTCCAAAAATAGCTTTATAAAAAATCCTTAACAAGCGGTGAATTTGAAGGATTTAAAATAGTTTTTCAACACCATTATCGATTTTTTATAAAAAAATAGCTGAAAAGTACTGCATCAACTCTATAATCCTTATTATCACAGTAATTTTTATGAGAAGGAAAATCGATTTAATTACCCTCATGGTACTAGTATTAAATGTTCCTGTTGAAGAGTGACGCTCAGTCCTGGCTGGGCTGATCTAGCCTGTAAAATTATTAACCTTATTTGCGTTGCTGTTAATGTGTGTTTCTTGAACCAAAAGGGCCTCGATTTTATGCTTGAGATAACATAAATTGATTGAGTCAAATATGCTCGAAAATGATCAGATCGGATTTCATTTAGCAAACTATCCAACGAATTCGAAATAGCAGCCTCCACGTTCGCATTTCATGGGGTCAATACGCCGTCTATAGATCCCTTTGATCGCCCAAGTATCACATAATTTATGTGTGTAGTTACTAGAATCTATAGGCACGAACAGGGTCGTAATGACTTTCATCCCATTTTAGTAATGTAGTGGGATATTCGGTAAACATGGAACAAAAACTGGCGCACCCAAGTTAACAGTTGTCGCTTCACAAACTATTTTTAGCTTTCCCGTCGAATACCAGAAATTTTATCTTTCGAAGAAGTTAGTCCGGGTCGTGAGTTGAGCATCAAAAACATACTAAAACGTTATAGAACTAGCTAGTCTTTGATTAAAATGAATTGATATGGCCAACTACAATAAGAAGATCAAAACGGTAGAAATAGTGGTCTAGTAGTGATGTATAATTTTATTAAATGTAATGAATGTTGATTTTCCTTGCCTGGCGCCTTATTTGTACTTTTCTCCTAAAAGTCTCCTAAAACTGCAGATGCTTTTCAATAGCAATACGGCAAATACGAATTTCTTCCAGAAAAAGTGCTAACAAATGTTGCAACATGATTCCCAAGTAACTGTCAATCAATAAATCGCCCAATTTTGCCGCAGTTCATTTATATTACCCATCAATTTTTCACACATTTGATCGGTTTATTGAAGTTGACCCTTCATGCAAAATTTACAACTGATCACTCATATATCATATTGAGTTTGCCTGATAATAAAAAAATAACAATGAATTACTTAATTGTAATATTCTACGGTTTTCACCAGTCATCATGACGTTCTATTTTTTGAGGTTATGTTCTGAACGTCCCACATGGAGTGTAAGGTGTGAGGTTATGCGTTGTGGAAGTGTCTTTATGCAACTAGTTATTGAAATTGACTGAGCTCTTTATGCAGATAAATATTTGTGGAGTTAATCCATTCCTCGTTAAATCTGATTTCTCTAGGTTCTCTAGAACATTGTGACTATGCAAGTCGAGATCTATGCGTAATTGCCTATTTCGTTAAGCAGCGCTCAAATTGACACAAATTACAGCAGTTCAGAAAGTTATGTTAAAAATGCTGCTGGCGCAGATTTGTCGCAACTCCTGTCAATGCCAGGAATAATAGAGAACCTTACTTTAAAGCTTTTTGAACCAGCCTGGTTCTAATCCAAAATTTTAGATGGATTAAATTCAATGTACAGCAAAAATCTTGGCAACAAATAATTATTATTTCTAGATTGTATCTCTTTTTTTCCTGCGAAACCGCCTGCCTCTAAAACTTTATCTTGGAATTCCCTATCACGGAGGAAAAAGTGAGGCTTCTCCTAAAATAAATTTTTGTTAAATCGACGTCCCCGACTTCGCATTGTTCACAGCAATTTTTCCAAAGTTTCTCCGGTTGCCCGTAGATATTCGGTAACATATTGCTGGAGGATGTTCGCCCGAAATGTCAGCCAGATTTTTCCGGAATTCTGACTGCATAAAATGGAAATGTGATTTTGTTCTCGGGCGTAGCCTCTTACCGTAGCGATGTGATAACGCTTACACAACGTGACTTTCTGAACCCTTGGTTATTACTTATTTGGTGCATTTTTAGCGGTTATTACATTTAAGTAGCTATAGAGGAATAAATGTACTTATGTCCGCTAGCATTTTTACTCCTAGAACGCGAATTTTAGCTTTGAATTTCTATTGATTTTAGTTCTCATTTGTAATTATTAAAATCAAATTGTCAAGTTTTTTATGCAAAAAATATCAGTAATACAACATAGCAATTTTTTGATCATTTTTTAAAGCATTTATTAACCCAGAAACGGAAATAAAATTTTATTTGGACAAGCTGATAGAGAGGCTAAAATAAGAGTTCTTTTATAAAATAGCGAAACGCTTTTTCGAAAAAGCTTGAAAATTTTATGCTTGGCGGTTTTCCACTGATTTGGGCTCAATTTTCATACTTTTACCAAGAAGAGCTTCTTCCTTTTCATAAAAACTTCAATTTGAACAATAATTATTCTAAAAACAATAACAATTATTTGGAATGTATCCGTTTCTTCTTTTACTGGTTGCATTGCGTTGAATTTTTGCATCATTTTTTCTTCGTTTATCTGTATTAATATCTGTTTTCTAGTATCTTGATCAACACTGGTACTTCGATTTGCGTGTATCGATCGGTGTTATATTTAATTAGCAGTTTTTCATGCTTTCGTGTTCTGCGACATCTTCTGGTAGGGTAATTGTCTATTCCAATATCGTCAAATAAGTTCTCTACGCATACACCGCGGTGATGAGTTTCTTCGTTACAAAAGTTAATTCCTTCCATGACGGAGCATGTTTCTACGGTAAACTGTCTCTTTTCCGCTTGTTCCATGTAAGGATATTGGGATATAAAAATCGATTGATTAAAAGATAAAATACTTTTAAATTGTGGTTGCTAACTTTCTATATAAATTGCTAGATATTTAAACATTTTATTCAAATCTGTCGTTAAAATAAATAATATTATGAAGCGCATTAACTTTTGCAAATATAATAGCGTCTTCTAGATTATCTAGATACATAATATGTGGCAATCATAATTTAATTGCTTTATTATTGCGTGAAAACTATGATGGTCTAGTAAAGAATTTATCGTCATTAATACTACATTTTGGAATATTTTTAAGCCAGTGTAAACTTGTCCTCCTCATCTGGTGGTCTGGGTATACAACTACCCTTTAAGTCAACAATTGAATAGGTGTTGTTTTTTAAACAGCGACTTCTACACACATTTCCATGAAACTTTAGTGGCATATGAGACTTTGCTACATTCAGCAATCAACGTGCCTGTTGACGATTTGAAAGTCTTCAAAAAAATAGGGCTTCAACATTTTGAGAAAGAGAAGTATAGAAATCTGCTACGAAATTTATTAAACAAGATCCATAAAGACTGTCCTATAGCAATGAGTCCGAAAGCAATCCATTTGCCACAGTTGTCCATCCTAGGTCGGTGTATAAATAGGTATTTTACAGAAGGGAGTAGAAAAAGACACTTTCTTCATATTTCTTAATTTTTAAACATGAGTGGAGGGAATTGAGTCTTTTTTTCTTTAAATTTAGTTAATTCCATCCTTTCCCCACTTTAAAAAATATATGTACAGAATGTGTTTTTTTATATAGTTATATATAGTTATTAATGACTGAATTTTCGCTAACTTTAAAGTATATATTTTACAAAGCTATTACAATTACGTATGACATTTTAGCCCTGTCGGCAATTTTTTGCAAATAAATTCGTATTTATTTATGAATTTATATTCAGACAACAACATTATTAAAATTGTTTCGTCTTAATGAACAAAATATCCGAATTACTTCGTCAGATACACAAAGTAACAAAATTTGTACTTTGGCATATTAATCCTCTCGGAAGCTTGGCTTGTATTTCAATTTTAGTTTTGTGTCTTAAATCTCGGATATAATCTCTATGTACCTGAAAATCCAATTTTCATTCCTAATAAAGCAAAATGTTCCAATTTCTCTTAATTAAACTTCCAATTTTCTGCCCTCATTTAAGTCGAAATCTGGTTTTGAAATTTGTTGTTGTGCCGCTATTAAAAATTATCGACTGCGTTGTAATTTCACAATGATAATAATTCCGTCCGCGTTGAGCAATTTCCGTGTTATTTGTGCTTATTTACGTGTAAATTTGAATCGATCTTTTTTATTGAAGCGGTGATCTGTTTAATAAATTTAATGAACCTTTCACTTATCCTAATTATTCGGTGCGTTCTAACTTCAATTTCCGCAATTTAGATACTCATTTGCGCAAAAAAAAATTGTATTTAACTGAATTTATGGAATATTGAAGTTCCCTACTTTCACGATAGTTCAAGTTATCGATCTAGGGGGGCACCAGTCGGTTTGGTTTGGTTATTAGTCTCTTTAAAATTTATTTTAAAAAACCCAATAACTAACGCGCTAACCTCTGAATGTCGTTCAGAATTGTATATTAAAGGTAGTATTTCAAAAGACTTTTTCTGACTTAATGAACTATACAACAATAATTAAAATGAAAATAAAAGTTAAGCATACATACTAAACTAGAGAAATATCAACTTGTTTGGTCTGTTCCATATTCGCTTGGGTCCTATATAATTGTCTGCAAATTAGCGTAAGAAATCCTTTTAGCTTTAAAAATTTTGCCAAAAAGGGTAAGTTCATTATATTCATGAACAATGAGATTCAGATATTACCCTGTTTCGCGCTAGATTCTTTTTATTTAATTACTTATTTATTTATTTAATTTGTTTGACTTTTCTTAATACTTTCATAAATTTGTGATCTTCGTGATGTAGATGCAAAATTATGTTTTTGTTATTTTGTGTATCCAGTGAATATCTGTAGAGAATTTTGTATGAATAATTGGACATTATGTAAGTAAAGCATAAGAAAATTGTATTTAAAAAATATTTGGTATTAATCTCGATAACAGTTTATATAGATTTTAGCTCATCAGAAAACGTAATTCAGTACTCAGATTTTTATAATAACATGGAGCTTCAGTGAGACACGGCGACAATTTTAAAGTGCAATTGCAAAACATTTTTTTTTATTTTCACAACGTGGTAATTTGTCTCATTCTGCTTAGTATTCTTGACTTAAACAGGCCTTCGTTCTGGTGTAGTTAATTCCCTTGGTATTCTGTATATACATTTAAAAAATTTTAGATTTAGCTTCGGACTGCTTCAAAATTATACATTGCTTTCTCAAGCACATCCATTAAAAGAGAAGAAAATATAATGCATATAAAACTGGTTAAATGTGTGAAAAGTTTTCAAACGCTTTATCAAATTACAAATATGAATCAATGGCATTCGTATTGAATCTCTAGTCATAGAAGTCGTAGAAAAACTGCTTTGGGGTAATAAATTTTATCATTCATATCGTAAAGACTCATTCGTCAATGTTCAGTTTTCGGCTGGCTTTATGAAAAATCAAATTCTTTTGTAGTTCAGGTTTCGACAATTTTATTGGCTTCTTCAAGACCATAAAAGAGACATATACTTAAAGTCGTGTTCTGAAATAAACCAATGTACAACAGCGCAATAATATATAATATAAATTTTAACAAAAAAATGTATTTGTATTACTATTATTGTATTGTATTGTATTGTAATTATTGTAAAGAAATAACAAAAAAATAAAAATAGTACTAATAACAAACAAAAGTTAAGTATTTGTGAAATATTTTAGGGTCCTGAAGAGTGCAGTAAAATCTCCGAAATGTTGACCACATAAAATATAATTGCTAGTGCAGCAGAAACAATAGAGATTCCTATTGCTAGTCGTTTTTGATTTTGGTTAATTATGCAAAGAAATAACAAAAAAACAAAAAATAATACAAGTGATAAACACTAGTTACCTCTAACAATAGTTAAAGTATTTGCGATGTATTTTAGAGTCCTGAAGAATGCAATAAAATCGCCGAAACGTTGGACACAGAAGAATTTTATTTTTCATAAACCCAGACGAAACAATACCGATTGCTATTCGTTTGGCGACCTTGGTTTATTATGCAAGGAAATAGCAAAAAAGTGAATATTTAACGGTTACAATAGTTAAAGTATATGTAATATATTTTAGAGTCCTGAAAAATGCAATAAAATTTCAGGAATGTTGACCACATAGAATTTAATTTTTCATTAACCCTGCCGAAATAGTACACACTCCTATTGCTAGTCGTTTTCGATTTTTATTAATTATGTAAAAAGTAACAAACAAATAAAGAATAATACAAGAGATAAATAATAGATAACGCTAACAATGCGTAAAGTATTCGTGATATATTTTACGGTCCTGAAGAATGCAATAAAATCGCCGTAACCAAACAATACAGGTTGATATTACTATCCGGTTGCGATCTTGGTTAATTATGCAAGGAAATAACAACACAAATGCGTGAATGAATATTTAACACAAACAATAGTTAAAGTATATGTGATAAATTTTAGAGTCCTAAGCCCATCCAATCCAATATCGAAATAGAAGCTGATACATTTTTTGTGTAATAGATATAAACATATTTTTTATTGTCTATATTATCTTGTGATTGTACCAATATCGGAAAACCTAACTTATGTTTCCAGAAGCGAGGGCGGATATCGAAGGACCTTCCGAAAAGTACCTGAAACCAGGAAGTGGCTTGCGATTGCAGTGCAGTATCCTACAAAGTACCGAGCCCCCAGCTTATGTATTTTGGTAAATATATATATGCGCATGATCATTTTAGATCAAACTGTCCTATTTCTTTACACTATAAGTACTATAAAATTAGTGAATACAATACCACAGTATTATAAACCTGAGAAATGTTATATTAATTACAAAACCTTTGGATTCCTCCTTCTTCGGTTTATATTGAGTCGAACTTGTTAGCGTTTCGCCAATCACCTTGTTGGCTTCTTCAGAGCTGAAACAGTTTTTGTTAAGCTCAGAAGAAGCCAACAGGATGATTGGCGAAACGTTAGCAAGTTCGACTGAGCAAAAACCGACGCGGGCGGAATCCAGAAGCTATGTAAATAGTATTACAGTAGCATGTGGAAGTTTCTTTGAAAAAAATGTTAACTGAGAAACGTTGCATGTTTAATTTTAATTATATTAATTAAACATTTAACAAACACTGGCCCACGGAATATCACCGCAAAGGAACTTTTGATAATTTTTTTTTAAATAAATTCAAGGTTTTTCTATTTTTGTTGTAATTGTTCAGCTACGATGTCATTGAATTCACAAAATTTGTTTTAAATAAACCGACATTCCGAGATATTACGTTTGCAAGTTACATATGCCAAGATTTTCTTAAAACCGATTCTTCTCTCGCTCACCGTCTCAGATATCTTAGGGAATTTATTCTTTATGGCGAGGCTGTTGCAGTTTCCGCCTTATACTCGGTCGTTTTTCTCAACTGAAGGTTAAGTCGATTTTATCCCCCGCTTATATTGATATATTTCTATAAATTCTCTTGGCTATTGCTTGTGTCGCGGATCAGTATATGCGGAAATTCTCATTTAATGCACTGATCTCTCGTCCAGATGCTTATAAATAACTTCATCAAATACTTTATGCGAATGGACGTTAAGAATTTCCAAACTTAACTGAAGGCAGTCGCTTTGTGACATTAACTGGAATAATATTATTTTACTGTATCTTGTTGTTCGTGGATAGGATGGGCCAATGTAGTTAGTATACGTGGTCTCCCATAGCAGTGGAGAATGAAATAATGCCATTAGAATTTTGCAGTGCCAAAAAAGAGAATTGTCCGATACATCCTCAAGCTCCGGCCCACGGCATGGGCGTTTCATCGGTATGGATATTTTGATAGTCCCTTTTTATATTTTCTAGTACTTTAATCTTTAAATAAAACAAATCGCCCATCCTCGTAGAAACCTGCTTTCACAAAACCAAAAGCGAAGGTCTCAAAAATATTTTTGAGATCTTTTTTTTACTTTTTCATAATTTCAAACATTCAAAACAATTCTGGAAACAGCCTCTCAGCCCATATGGATATGGACATAACAAAAATAAACAGCCTTTCTTCGTTTATACAGAATGTTAGTTGGAATCCCGTAAATATACGGTACATATACGGTAATAGATATTACGATTTAACGACACTTACCTTAGTTCATAAATGGAGATTAACCGAGATACAGGGTGTCAAATTTGCCATTGTCATTTTTTTAAAATAATTCCTGAAATGAAAATAGAATATCTACGTATTGTACTTTTCGTGAATTTGATACTTCCTAACCTTTATGCACTTTAGTGTATGCAGACCTTAATAAAGATTTCCTTACATAAAAAAAAGTATACCTTTTAAATTTCACACCGAGTTGCCGTTTTTGCATTTAATTGAATAATTTCAGGTGAACATGTAAAATAGTTCAAAGTAGGCTTGAACTAACATAATCTCAATGAAAGACAGTGAAATACCTAAGCAAATACTATAAAGGCACTTAGGTTCTCGTGAATTTCCTTGCCCTTTGACCGAAAATGTTTAAGAATATTTATACTTGGCAAAACTAGTCGGTTCCGCCCAAGAGGGATTGTGTGGGACTACCAAAAATGATTATATCGGAGTCGGAAGAGGAACTTTTAGTCCAGGTATCTCAAAATATGAAAATAAGCACAAAACGAATGTTAGTGCGAACCGGAGTGAGCAAATCTACAGTTTTTCACCAAGAAAACCTTTATCCATATCACTCTAGTCGTTTACAAAATCTTTTAAAGGGTGATTCTCCAGAAAGATTTGAATTTGCTCGATTTGGTCGTTTCTGGAAAAATGTTTTTCGATAAAATAATGTTAACAGATGAATCAATATTTACAGGCAGAGGTGTCTCTAGAAATAAGCTTGCGCGGAATATAGAAAAACCTCATTCAGCAACTGAACGCTAACAGAAATTTAAAAGAAGCGCTTGGTAAGCAATAATTGATAATTACATGTTACGACCAATCGAACTACCACCTAATTTAGCTGGACCTCAATTTTTGCAAACTCAATTCGCCAATTGTGTGGGTGATCTATCGCTAAAGTTAAAAAGAACAAAACAAAATAATTAAGCCAGATGGCGCTCCGGCGCACTTTTCGAAACATGTTGGAGATAATCAATTTGCATATCGTTGGATTAGTCAAGTACCTTAGCCGCCTAGGAGTCCGGATAGTTCACATTTCATTTTTCAGATGAATTATAGCACAAGATTGAAAATGTCGCTGAATCATTTCAAAACGGGGAATTTTATTTAAAATCAGGCAGTCTTTCAATAAACGTGTCCTTAAATGCATGGCAGTGAAAGGAAATCGTTTTGAACATTTATTGCCGAATAGAAATCTTCTTTTTTATGAATAGTTTTTGTATTTGACTTGGGTTTGAAACTAAATTTCCAGAAAGTTGTTTCCGTAGACGTCAAAGTTTTTTGAGTCTCTTGTAAAATCCCAAAATAAATAATATTAAAAACGATGTACTACAACATTAGCTAAATTTTAAACTTGATGGCATAAAAAAATTTCAAACCCAAATTCTTAGAAAACGGCGACTCGGGCGAAATATAAAATGTGCATTTTTTGTATTAAAAATGTGTAAGAACTGTTATATTTATTAAAAATCTGCATACACTAAGGAGCAAAAAAGATAGGAAGTATTAAATTCGCATACGAAGCGACCTCTACAATTTGGTCCAAAATTATTCACAACCCGGGATTGCTCAAGTCAAAAAAGCTCGATTATGTAATGAATTATATTTAATAATGAAAAATGAAATTACGTCTTTGACACCCTGTATCTCGGTGCGTATCTACTTTTGGATTAAGGCAAGTTTCGTTAAATCGTAATATTTTACCTAAAGGATGTCCTATTTTGCCATGTAGTATTATTTATGTGACCCTCTGTACACTCCTCATAAATATATTTATTACAGTGAGTACATACAATACAATACAATACAATAGTATACCCAAAAAAAATACAAAACCAAAAAAAGAAAAAAAGAAAATAAAAAAACAGATGTATTTATAACAAAATTACAAAGGAAGCATTAATGTTCGGCATATATTGAAAAATAAAATGTCATTCAAATTTTAACAATGTGGTACATAATAAATTAACTTATTTAATTTAATGAATTAATTAAATACGGTCATTAATTATTCAAGAAAATTGCGTAATACTATTTTGGATAAGGTAATTCCGGGAGAGTTATATTTATCTGTGTCTTTCCGAGATTGCAGGGGGATCAGTTCGATGTGTTCGTGAAAACTCAAGAACAAAGTGACGAAATTAGATTTTTCTAATTTAACAACATTTGACAGTGAGTATATTTAGTGTATAGTTTTGAAATCAGAAGTGTATTTATAATGAATAGTTATTGGAATGATAAACTGGACGTGGAAAACATTTTATACCTATGACCATATCTCCCGGACAATCAGGAGATTTTTCCCTATCTAGAATTAAGCATTAAGCATTCCGATTACTCGGAAAATTTTATTTTTTATGCTGTTACCTAATTGAGATATTCTTAATTGCAGATGCCAAGTAGATATACAAGGAAGTCCATACAAACACGTGGGAACTGGACAAAAGAAAATTTGACCACTGCAACCAGAAATGTGCTGGCTGGTTGTATGTCTATTCAATGAGGTTCCAGTGAATTTCGCAAACCAAGGAAAACTTTAGAGTGTCAGTTTAAATTCGGAAACTCCGAAAAAGGAATCATGGGATTCAGCTGTGTATTTTGAAAAGAGAATCTATATAGAATCTATCTCGATATAACCTAACCATGCAAAATACGAGTTTTCCTTTAACAAAGGATGATCTAAGACGGACTGCTTGTCACTTTGCTTAATAATTTTTGAGTTGACATCCGGAAATCAGTGTTCGTAAATCTGAATGAATTTCACTAGCTAGAGCAACTGCAATGAATCGAAAAGAGGTGGCAGATTATTTTAATTTTCTTGAAAAGTTACTGAAAGAGAGCTCTTTATTGACAACAAACATATTTAACATGGATGAATGCCGAAGGTAACTTTTTGCCGGCTACTGTAATCATAAAAGGTAAAATAAAAAGAAAGAGTGGGACGACGCTTTACCACCAGAATCTGTCCTATTTATAGAGCAAAAATCAGTTTTTCTTCAGTGGATGCGTGACCATTTTGTTCCCAGGAAGCCATTAGGAAAAGTGCTCTTGATTCTCGATGGACACGCATCACTGGTAAATTATGTCGAAATGTTTGCGAATTCGAATGATATCGCCATATCCTGTTTGCCCAGCCTAGCCAGGAATTGCTTAGTGTTAGAGTTGGGGTAAGGCTGCTACGATTTAGAACGTCTCATCAGGTTTTCAGGCATGGAGAATCCTGCCATTCAATCGAGAGGTCATACCAGATGACGTATATTCTATTGACAAATCCTCCACGACAATTACATTACAGTCCTCAGAAGAAAGGAGGAGCACAGCAAAGTGATAGTTTACCAGCACGACTATCTACTAACAGAAAAGATGATACTCCCTTCAACATATTGCTTGACTTGTTATTAGAAGGAGAGCCAAGCAAATAGCAGCTATTTTGACTTCACCGGAACATTTGGTAGTCCGCAAAGCAAAAGAGAGAAAAGCTCAAGGAAAACAAAAAAAGTGTCAGCATAAATCTTTTCCGAAAATTGAAAATAATAAAACATTGAAGAAGAAAAAAAGCAAATTTGAATCATTAGGTAGCGAAGAGGACGTAGACATCAATCCGGAATGCAAGGAAAGTGGAAATAAAGATTTTGTAGGAAATTTGTATGTAGGATGTGGGGGGGGATTATCTGGACTGGATCAAGTGTGTCAATTGTAACCCATGGCTACATGAAAAATGTAGAACCTTCGGTGATTTCTGCCAAAAATTTGGTAAAAAAGACAGAAAGTAAAAAAAAAAACATGAATTATTAATTATTTCATGAGTTTGTTTCTCGTCAGTGTATGGTCATCACTCCCGGATAACACACATTTTCTAAAACATTTTTTTAGTTTAGAATCCCATATTTCTTTTTAAATTAACCATGCTTTGTACCGCCAGTGTTATTATACCTTCATTTTATCACAATATATAAACAGATTTCACAAAAAGTTTGTTTTTAATTATTTTCAAAACTATGGCCATCTATCCTGGAATTACCCTGTCCCAAAAATAAACGATAACGAAATAGCGAGCAAACAAAAATTACAGGCACTAAATCAACGATGAAAAAAATGCAATTTTAAATTAGACAAACAAATCTGTTGTTGCCAATGAACATGAAACAAATATTTATCTAAAATTTTAGCAATAAATATTTATCTAAAAACGCTATTTCTGTTATAAAAGTAAACGTCTGAAAATAACAGAGAAAAGCGATATCCGGTCGTCTTATTCTGGTTGAATGTTGCAAACTAATGATTCGGGAAAATCGCAAGTGAAAAAAAAGTTTGTTGGTTACCTACTTTATTCCCTACTAGGATTTAACAAGCCCAATTAGAGTTTTCAGAAGTTGAAGCGGACGGTTTTGAGACGAGCGTAAACGATGTACATATTTTTTTGCAGCCTACATTTGGTGTGTTGTATTTAAAACTTGAAAATTTGAGAAAAACGAAACGCCGTACGTTTACTGCGGCAGAAGATGAGTCTCAATTAGTATCAATAAGCATTACTCTCAGCATGTCTTTTCTAAATTTTATAATAAACTAATAAAATATAAAATCGAAGTTTCGGAAGTAGTATAGATAACGTCAATTTTTTAGCAGGCTCATCAACACGCCACTGATTGAGCTACACTGTATCAGAGAAAACGAAACAAAACCATTTAACCCTATGTTTTCAATGCAAAAAAAAACCCAAGATTAAATACCCTGGGTGGCAAGACATCCAGATCCATTTTAAAAGCAATAAAGGGTCTAATGGTATCTCATTAGAGCCTCCTCTCGATAATATCAATTTTTGAAATGTTGTGCAATATTGCGCTTTTAAAAAACTTTCTTAGAATTGAACCTGCATTTTACAAAACGTCCAACAACGCTTTTGGTTTGTAGAGGATTACTAAAAGCATAATTCCTGGAATAGTAAAAATGTCTGTAAAAAGTAGAGAACAAGTTCGGCGGCATCGCAAAGACTTTCCAAGTCGTATTTTTTTTTGTCTAAGCACGACAAGAACATCAGTCTAAACAACTATTTCGTTCCTTACACGCGCTAATGTTTGTAAGTGTATGAAAAATCCAGATGTATGATCATTTGTGCCCCAAGAAACTCGTAACCAAAGTGTCGTTTATAAAACTTGTTTCATAACAGACTATTACTAAGTTGTTATCCAATTAGAAAGTATTTTAGACAAACACTTCAGAAAAATTATGTTTACTAAAAATAAGTAGTCTCACCATAAGTTAAGACACTGACGCATCATCACCAACTATTAATAGCTATAATAATAATAAAATTATATTAGAAAGTATTAGAAAGTATCAGAGTTAATTGCAAATTATATTAGAAGGTATTTTAAACAAACACTACAAAACATTTATGTTTACAAAAATCAAATCATAAGTTAGTCATAGTTAACGACTTGTGTTTATTGGTGTAATTGTTGATTATTCTGTTTTTAAAGTTTTGCGGTGTATTTGTTGTTGTTGAATAATGGCTGAACAACAAAAAACAAGGAAAAGAAGATCTTAGGGACGAATGCAGGAAGTAGTCATCAAACTGGACAAGACTGCAAATGTTCAAAACTTAAATGTTTCCAAAATCTCATTGCAGCCGATTTAAACACGATCGTGTCTAAGTTTAATCAACTGCAAAGTCATGATCCGAGTGGTTTAATAACTTGCAAACCTGTAACACTCCATCGTCCCAGGAAATGTGAAAATGAAGCTGATTTTCATTCATTTTCATATACTTATAAGGTGAGATTGTTAAAAACACACTAGATGTTTTAAGAGTAGAAAGTATCACTATGGCTTGACTAAAACAACAAAGGTTTACTTACCTGCTGAGCTCAATATTAAGAAAATGTACTCTATGTACAGAGAAAAATATCCTGATAAATTATTTACTTACGAAAAATTAATATTGCTTTTGTGTACCCACGATGCGATACCTGTAGTACATGCGATGAAACAAAAAATTGACGACATTGAAAAAAAAATTCAAAGTGCAGCTGATCACAATTCACTGCGAAATTGATAAAGAAATACATTTAAGAAGAGCAAACACGTAAAAAAACTTCTAAGCTTGATGCTCAAAAAAACAAAACCAAGGAAGATATTGTAATGGATTTTCAAAAAAATCTTCATCTGGCGAATACTACAACTAATGACACGTATTATCGTATAAAACTTTCGTTCTACATGTTTAACATATACATACATGTCCTTTCGACCTCTGAAGCCCTTTTCTATACTAATACTGAAGTTTCAGGAAAAAACGGTGCTGATGATGTTTCTGGATTATTTTGCGATTCACCCTGTTGAATTTCACCGCGATTGGAATGTAGCATTATTTGCTCATTTTGTTAAATGACTTAATACAATTAAAACGGTTTTTTCTGTTCCTGGACATTCGTATCTAGAATGCGATAGAAATATGGGTTTAGTGAAAGAGAAGACGTACGTTGAACTGTCCTGAAGAATGGAATGCACTTTTAAGGGATTCCCGAACAAAACCAAGCCCTTTTAAATTTATTTCTTGTGAAAATCAGTCCATTTTTAGGAGTTGCACCAAATTTCTAGCGGATAATATATGCCCAAGTGTCCTTTTCCTTCAAGACCGGTCAAAAAATTAACTGTAACCGAAAATCACGCTCATATGATACATAAGGAAAGTTATAATGATCTAAAACTTGAAAATGTTGTCATAAAACAAAAAAAAGACTTTCGCTACCTGAAAAGTAAGTGTGTTTGGCTTCCAACTTTAGCTTATGATGGGCCAATACTTGCATCAAAACCTAAATTTCAAGACCTACAGCATCTAAAAAGATTCTGTTTTCAAAAAGCGCAGGATTTTTTTACAGCAATACCGGATGGATAAGATAGCAATAATAGATTATGGACCTTCATCTTTATTGCCAAGTTTTTTTTGTATTAGAATCAAAGTTTTTTTATATTCTGTCAAAAAATATTTTAGTTCAAGTTAGCAATTGTATTCCAAAATCTTTTTTTTTGTTTACCATATTCTAGAATCGTCTTCGGAAATAAAAATCACAATTACTCAGAATTAAGCTTTTTGGACCTTCATCTTTTCTCTCCTGTACTCTTCAAGTATTTTAGAAAAACACTTAAATACAATTATGTTTGCAAAAAATAAGTTAAGACCCTGACGTATGATAAATCACACCGTAGCTATTAATGGGTTAATTCAAATTTGAAATCAATTGGATGATGGTATCTTCAACTTTTTACATTTTCCGATTAACACTCAATAAACGTTTTTCATAGGATTAATGTAACACAAAATGGTCTATACGGGAAATGTCTCGATAAAAAGGCGTTTTCAGAGTGATTAATTATTGTTCCAGGTATCACAATAACAGGATGATAAATTACGACGTTGACCGAGGCATCAACGTAACGACGGAGTTGAGTGAGAAAAGTAGCACGCTGACCATTACGAACGCCGCAACACGGCATTCGGGAAATTATTCATGCGTGCCAAGCAATGCTCAACCTGCCAGCACTTACGTGCACATACTTAACGGTAAGTCGGTAGGAATGGGATATTAGTTATTTATGACGTTAATATTAAAAATACCATTTAATTTCGTGAGAATGGGAGCTAATTCACTTTTCAAGTTATGTGCACTCCAAAACAACAAACCCGAACAATCAGTCGTTATTGTTCTCTTTGTTTGTATGTATTCTTTTCTAACTGTTCGCTTTTACATCTACATAGCGCAAACAAATAACACATTTCCTTATACATTAATTTTGATTAAAAAACGGAAATCTGTTGGATATGTATTTCAATGGATTTTGCAGATTTTCGGTAATTCATATATATCGACTGTATAAAAACTTAAAATCATACTAGAGTATACTTTAGAAATCAGTTCGAGTGAACTAGACATCAGAATCATAAGATCTAACGCTGCTAGATCCGATGGGCTGTCACCTGAAACGATTAAATTAGTATTGTCCTTGTCCATGTTTTAACACGAATTTTCAATTATTTTATAGTTAATTGTGCATTTCCCGAACAATAGAAGACTGCTATAGATTTGCTCCTTCCAAAGATCCCGATCATAAGTTGATACCACTGATACTCATTTGTTTGAGGTGATTTTAAATACCCGAATAGTTAACTCTCAATCAGGATTTCGCGTCGGCTGCTATGCCAAAACTTTACTTTTGCGAATGCGTTTTTTTGAGAATATATGTTTTTTTTTATTTTTTTCTTATGGGACCCCGAAACTGTTTAACTTTAACTTAGCGGCTTTTTGAACTTTACTTGTGAAAGCTGCAAAAAAATATTTGTTGGATATGGGATGAAATTTGCGCTGTCTGGTTACTGGTACCTTTGAACTGAGGTGGCTTTTACTTGATGAAAATCCATTAATCAAAATAAATAAGAACTAAAAGTTCAGATTTTCACGAAATTATATATTTTTACATGACAATTATTTCGACAACAGAGTGTATTTATCACATTTGATAAAGTCACGGTGTTGTTGTTATCAAATGTGATTAAGACACGGTGTGGTTGAAACAATTGTCATGTAAAAATATATAATTTCGTGAAAATCTGAACTTTTAGTTCTTATTTATTTTGACTGGTATCTTTATTTATTATATAGAGATGATACTAATAAGTTATATTTAAGGTATGAATGCTTTGTTACTACTAAGTAACGTTCCACCAAGTTATAAACAAAGGTTTTTCTATTTGCATTGTTTATTGTCGTCATTACCGAACTGATGACAAACAAAGTTTGCTCACTTGACTCAAAAATGACTATTTTTTAATAACTGGAGATCTGCTATTTGTTCGGATAACGAAAAAATTTAGCGATCCATAGGTCAAATTTCCAGTGTGAGAAAGATATGCAGAGACTATTGGACTCACAGAGAAAGGAGAAATAATATCTGTCAGAGATTTTCACGTTACATGGTGTCCCATTATACGTAACCAAGTGGATAGCTTTGATAATATTGATCCTACGATGAAGTTTAAATGACCAAAGTTGGAGCATTGTTTTTAAACCTGTCGAATCTGCATACAAAAATATAAAATAAATTTTTTTCTTTCAAATTTTGACAGTTCAATATTTTTTAAAAGTTGAATGTCCTGTAGTTCTCCGGATTTCAAATATGTAAGAGTTAGTTTTGACAGATTTTGAAATATGGCGCGTTTTATCTAATATCATATGTAAAGAAGTCAATAACTATTGTTTCAAAAATCAAATTAGCCGCCATAGCTGTGTTATGGCAACTGGCGTAGTTAACTGTCATTTTATAATTAAAATGGTATTTACACAAGCAGAAAAGTTTTTACAATATGACCTAACTTAGACTATTAATTTGAATTACAGAATCGAAGTTTCAACATATTTCTTTTCAGAGCATCCATAGAACTCTATCCGAGATATGTGGGATATGAATTTAAGTGAAAGTAAAATCCAGCTTATTTTAAAGACACGCATCTAAGTGGACAAATGTTCAAACACAGACAAACAGATACGTCTTGAGTTTTGCCGCATTATGTTAGAACGATTTCAAGAATCACTTAATTTTATTCACAATATCCTGTTACAGATGACTCCTCAGTTAATACGGTCTCACCGCCTAATTTAAATAACCCACTAAGTTTTCCCAATTAAAAAATCTGGTTGAAAATCTATAGGAGTTTGGTACGGAATTATTTCTTTTAGACATCTGGGACCCTGTTTTTTTCAATGAAGAATGAGAGGCGATCGATATTTCGATTTGCTTCGATTTGGAGTAGAAGAATATATCGAAGAGTTACCTCCTGTTTTGATTCCAAATATAGTATGGAAACAGGACGGGCACCACATCACAGTGTAAGAGACATAAGAGACTATTTCCAAAATAAATACAATGTCTGGATAGGAAAAAATGGTGTAATACTCTAGCCTCCTAACAGTCCTAAAATAGAGAGCATATAGAAGTAGGCCGGCAGCAATTCTGGTAATACAAAAGAGAATACGAGAAGTTGAAGCCCTAAATTGGCAAACAGAACTTCTTAGAAGGTGTATCGAAAACCTACACAAACGTTTTCATGTATGCGTGCAGATGAATGGTGCTCATTTCGAATATCTTTGAATAATATCTTGAAATAATAATAATATAATCCGCGATATTTCAAAATCTTCCAAAAATAACCCCAACAACTCAATTCAATTTAAAAAGAACATCGAAGTATAAAAATGTTGCGGATAACATTTTTATTTTATATTTTTTGTTGCAGAATCGCAAGGTTTAGAGGTAAATTAAACTTCATCGTAGGTATCAATATTAGCAAAGTTATCCATTTAGTAATTTAGAATGGTATTACAAATTGCAATTAATATGTCTGTCATATATCCAATTTAGTAGGTTATAATACTAAAAATACTTTTTTGAATTTACTCAATTATGTTAGGCCACTTAGTTACTGTGATGATTTAACTGGAAGAGTTTTGTGACAACTATATCAACGGACAAAATCAATATTAGCAACAGCAGATTTAGACACAATACGCGGCCTTACGCAATTTTAATCTTTGCAGTAAACTTAAAAATTATAGCCGTAGAGGGTTCTGTTAGAGCACCGTTAACACCCGAAATCTGTACTTTCCTAATCAAAAGTTTCAAATTTGTTTTGTCCCACGTTGCAAAAATAATTAAATGAACATCGACATTCGTGGGTATAAACTTTTCGCTACCAAAGCCGTCTGGCACTTAGGAACACCTAAATAGATATTGATGTGCGAAGAGGTACAAAAACTCGATTCTTACCTACGTTAGTCCTTCTAGCAAAAAACGATCCACTAAAATCGTATTTCGTTTTATCAGTAGAATTCAAGTCTGCACTGCTTGATTTGACCGGATAATTAATGTTGCGACGTTTTTTTATTGATTTATTTATTAATTCATTTCTTAAACTAACTTTGGTATATCGATTAAAATTTATTTGGCATTAATCGCAACCAAATGATAAGGATAATTCAAATGGGTTGCTGTGTCTAATAATATGTCATTCGTAACATTCGGAATATCCGAGAAACGCTGCAAATTGGAAATTTTGATTTCATATTTCTATAGCGTTCATTGCTCACATTATTTTTCTTTATGGTCGCCATATTGTACTGCTTAACATATTTGTGGAGGTTTCCTTGAAACATAATTTTTTATATTTTGCGTATTTTAAACTGTCAACCATGACTCAAGAATTTCTTTTTGGGTGTGTTTTTAAATAATTTCCTAATGCAAGGTGGTCTCAAAAATATTCGGCCCATCTAAGCTTGTTTTAAATGGCCCAGCCGATATAAGGATTCATATTATTGGTCGTAATTACTCCAATGTAGGGTCTGTATGGTCTTAAGTTGGTGGCTGGAGTTCAGACTTGAAAGCAATGATATTTAAAAACAAAAAATAGTACAAAGTACAATTGTTTTGTAAATATTACAGTTCTTTTGTACAACTTCAACCAAATTTACTAATTTACAGCTAAGTGTTTGACGAAAACGGCTGTGTAATAGATTATGGATATTATACTATATTATTTTTACATATTTTGTTATTATTGTTATTATGTAGATAAATGTAACAATAAGAAAAGGAACCCAACATTATACAATCTACATTAATATTAAGCACAGAACTAAGTTATTTGAGCGTTTAATCTTAAATGCAATAAGTAATGGTAAATATTTTCGGTAGGTTATAAAACTTATATTTTTAGTTAGTTTTGGTTAGTCTAGTTGTGTTGCTCTCTATAAGTACTTTTAGTTTTTCAGGAAAAATTTTACCATCATCACTTTGAAGACAAATTTTTGAGTAACAATCAAAGGTTCCATAATTTGATTGGCTGCAAGGGTACAGTATTTAATTTTGTTGGAGGAAAATTGCTACTTAAATGAAGAATACAGAAATATGATAGGAACAACGAGAAACCAGGTTGAATGAATTTAGAATCAAATCCGAATAAAATTTTGGATGAACATTATTTAACTAAAATTAAAATTAAAATATATAAAACCATACTAAGACCGATACTAATGTATGGATGCGAAAGCTGGACAATGACGAAGCAAAACGAGAGAAAACTGAGGTGTTTTGAAAGAAAAATCCTAAAAAAAATCTTTAGCCCTGTAAAATGGGAAACTACAGACGAAGAAACAACAATGAACTGAGAGACATATATCAGGAAGCGGACTGGACAATGGAGACTAAATCCAGACGACTAAGATAGCTTGGACACATAGAACGTAGTCCAGAAAATAGAATTACAACGCTAGTCTGGAGTGACAATCAAGCTGGGAGAAGACCTCTAGGCAGACCTCATTTAAGATGGCGATATAATATAATATAAGATCTCAGGACAATGGGATACAGACATACACATACAGGCGAATTGTAAACGCAGCCAAGACTCACCCAGGATTGTAGTGCTACTGATGATGATGTTGATGATTATTTAACTGTTTGGAGCCTCCCAAAAAGAAATAATGACTATAACTAAATTACAAATTAGTAAAA